CTGATGGTAAGTGGTCGCTGTGGCCCATAGACATCTACATCTATCTTCGATTAAGAGTCAAAATGCAGATGCGTTGTCACCCGTGAGGACTAAGATGGAATACCTCGTTTCCAGTAAAAAGGGTCTCCGGTTCTCTACACTCACCATATGAAACACAGCAGCGTTAAGCCGCTATTTTACGCTGGTATTCTGTGAGAGCGTGGTCCTTCCCCGGTCGAGCCGACCCATTCGTGCTACAACCATAATATAGATGCAGCATGGCTCTACCACGTATAAAGTAAGTTTTCGGTAAGTTTCTGTTATTTTTGGTTACACAATACTGAAAAGAATGAAAAAGACTGTTTTGAATAGCGAATGTCGCGAATTTGTGGTTCGCTTGGGAGATTATTTTGAACGTGAGTGTCTAAATAGCGTAACGTGTTGCCTGTAACCCAAGTTGGCAACAAAGATGCGGATGCTCTTGGCATCAGTCTTGCGACGGTGTTTCGTATAACGAAAGAAAAGTATGACAAGCCATAATCAACTCAAGCGATAGAGAAGGAGAGAAAAGAAGGAGAGTTTCGAGTATCACAGCGATTGATGACTTTGATGCCGCTGCAATATGCAATCATGTTTACGCGTATTATAGACGTGCTGAATATCCAACACTAAGAAAATTAATAATGTCCCTTAAATATTCTCATTTATTTAAAGGCAGTTTGCAGTCATTGGCCACCATACTACATAAAATTGGCTTCGCTTATAAAAAATGCGACAAACGAAAAATAATAATTGAGCGCACAGATATTGCCTCTGCACGGGTGGACTTTTTTAGAAAAGCCAAACATATTTCAAATTGGGATAAAGTCGTATTTCTGGACAAGACGTGGCGTAATGCAAACCACACTGTACCGAAAACGTGGAATGATGACATGGCACAATCAGTCACCAAAGTGTCCGAAGGCAAAGGACAACGCCTGATAATTGCGCACACAGGGATGGCAAACGGTTTTGTACCCAATGGTATGTTGGCTTTCAAATTTTTTTTATAGGATAGGGTAACAAACAAGCACACAGTCCACCTGATGGTAAGTGGTTGCTGTGGCCCATAGACATCTACATTTATCCTCGTTTGCGAATCAAAATACAGATGCGTCGTCACCCGTGAGGACTAAGATGGAATGCCTCTTTTCCAGTAAAAAGAGTCTCCGGTTCTCTACACTCACCATACGAAACACAGCAGTGTTAAGCTGCTATTTTACGCTGGTATTCTGTGAGAGCGTGGTCCTTCCCCGGTCGAGCCAACCCATTCGTGCTACAACTATACTACTAATATAGCTGCAGCATGGCTCTACCATGTTAAAAATCAACAAAAACCACAGAATATCATGAGGAGATGAATTTTGAAAAGTTCAAAGAGTGGTTTTAAACACTAGTGGAAAATATTTACAACCTCTCAATAGCCCAGGCGGTGCGCTAGTCGCACAACCACCGGGACCTGACGGCGGTGAGGCGGCACCGGTGTTGACTCACGCGGAGTCTGATATGGAAGACGTGTCCCCACCGCCTCAAACCTCCACGACCATGCGCACTCGTTCTGACCGCGCTATAAAACCACCTAAACGCTTAATTTTATAATGTTTATACTTACTAAATGTAATGTAAACATTTGTTTTGTTTATGATTATTTTTTGTGTATTCATAATAAATGTGGAGGAGAGGTGGTAAAGTCGAGTGATTAATGTCAATTTTTTTATTATACATAAAACAATGTATGTATTGTACTATATGTCATTTTGATTTATTTTATGCTAAATTGTGTAAGCGCAACATGTTTATTAATTATACGTAAGACATAGTTGTTTGCTTCCCAAAAAAATGTGCTACTTCTTAATCATTGATTATACTACTAAGCATTTGTTGTAACTGTTTATATATAGTATATTACGTTGTAATCTAAGTGTGGAGGGATGTGGCATATTATGTCGGTAGATTATAATAACGGTTTCTACGGCTACCCTGTATTGTTTGAATAAATGATCGTTCACGGCTTCGGTGTGTTTAAATAAGCCCTTCCCGTATTCCTTGAATAGCAAGGACATTACATAAACCACATATGATTATTATGGATAATGCGCCGTACCATTCCTTATAAAAGGACAAAGCTCTAACATCCAGCCGTAGAAAACTGGAGCTTATATCTTGGCGGTAGAGCAAAGGCATTGAAGCCAATGAAAATATGTTGAAACACGAATTGGTCCGATTAATTAAAAAAAAACAAACCTAGAAAGCCAACCTACATTTTGGATGAAATCGCTGAACAACATGGCCATAAGGTGCTTACATTGCCACCATATAATTGCCATTACAATACCATGGAACGGATTTAGGCTCATGTCAAAGGTTTGTTTTTTGTCATTATAACTAGTACCTACGTTTACTACATGTATGATTTTTTTTATGGTTTTAGGTTATACAGACAAACATAACATATCTCCACCATTTACAGCTAAGAAAATGCTGACTCTATTACAATATGCCTACGATAACGTTACTGCGAATGATTGTAAAAAAGTCTTGGAACACACAAAAAATATATACTAGAAGGCTGGGAGAGAGACGTACACTTTGACAGAGTTTGTGAACAAAAACTTATAACCAACGTAAGAGACAGTTCCATTAGTGAGCCTAGTGATGATGATGATGATAATAATGAACTTGATTAAGATAGTGCACATTTATTTTAATAATAAATAACTTTAAGCTATCATTACTTGTTTTATTTTATACTATGCTCTTTCACAAAAATGATTTCGACTCTGAAGTGTTCTACTAAATAGTCTGATTGACCGAATAAAAATATGCACGAGGCGAAATCTTTATTGTGACAGGGATTTTATTATCGTATTAATAATTTATTATTAATTCAATAGATAAGAAATTGTTGAAAATTCCAAATCCATACAGCATAAACATGCAACTATCGACTGCAAGTTCTATGAGAATAATAATCGATCTTTAACGATTATACACCACCCCATCCCTAAAGTGAGTTGTCAAAATTATCAAGCTAAATTGGACAGAGTATAATCTAACCAGTGTTGAAACAGCTAGACTAGTTTACTTTAGCTGTCTCCATTGCATAATGTCGTATGGTATTTTGCTATAAGGACACGCAGCTGACACTGAAATTATATTTGTTTTACAGAAGAGGGCCATAAGAGCAATTTATGATTTAAAACCTAAAGAGTCACTGCGACGAAAATTTAAGGAAATTAAAATATTAACTTTGACTTCTCAATACATTTATGAAAAAGTAATGTACGTACACAAAAATAAAAGTAGTTTTACAAAAATAAGTTATATTCATTCTGTAAATACTAGGAACAGACACAAGCTAGTAGTACCAGTTACTTGACTCCATCGAGTCAGTAATTCATTCTTGGGCGATGTATACGCCTTTACAACAAAATACCAGGAAATATACAAAATTTGACCTGCTCAAAGTTCAAAAACTTTATTAAACTAAGTTTGTATAAAAAGGGTTATTATAATATTAAAGAGTTTATGGATGATAATAGCCCCTAGAAATGAGGTGATCACTACCAAGCTATGTCTAATTTGTTGCGTTGTTAATTTGTGTAACATACATGATTGTAAGCTGTTATTTAAAAAAAAAGTCCCGTTGGGTTTCTCGCTGGTTCTTCTCAGGAGAGAGGTTTTTTTTTGAACCAGTGGTAATTAAACAAAAGAGTGACTTTCAATAAGTATTATTTATAATCTATATTGAATAAAAAAAGTTTCTGTTTCTATAATTAGTTATTATGGGGTCTCTGATGCTCGGTTTGATAAGAGTCACTTTCACGAGCAGTATGACTATCTGATGATCAGTGAGAAAGGTTCAGACTTCGTCAATCTAATCTTTAAGTCCGCACGCATTAAAGTAGGCGACAGCAATCGACCTAGATTTTACTCTAGCTGTTGGTATATTATCCATCCATTAATTTAGAAATCCATCTCTTAATTTAGAAATCCACCAATTTATCCATTAATTTAGAACATAAGGAGCCAAATTAACAGTTATCAAGCGCTTCAGACTTAGTTAGCTCTAAAGTACTTGATTGCATCGATCACATCAAGGGAGGATTGGTGGTACTCTTTGACAAAGCGTGCCTTTCTAATTTTGGGCGCGAAGGCGCAAAACTCATTCACTTCAAAACTGTCTACGAAGTTGCAGACAAGATTGAAGACCTGTTTAGGTGCTGCACTTTCGGTCATCGCTCTGCTTAGGGGCTGAAGCCGGGATCAATGTAGGGGAGGAGGGCTGGCCTTCTTTTAAGGGCCTTTGCTCCCTTCTGCTTGCGTGCCTGCTTGCGACCCCCAACGCTCTTACCGGTGTTCCGAATTCATCGCATATTGACCGGGCTAGGGTAACACTTCTGTACACATCCGCGACTCCGCCAGCGCTGGTCACCCCTCTTCGGGTGAAGATATTTCTTCTGCTTATTGCGGAGGCCATAGGACGGATTTTGTTCTGGTCTATAACTCCGCCGCCAATCAAGTTTCAGCCGCGGAGGATAGAGAGAGCGCTGTTTTACCAAAAATACTAGCAAACAAACTAAGCTCTGCAGCTTATGTTGTAAAAAAGATTAGAGGTTAGTAGGTAGAGAGGTTACTAGTACCGAGACAGCTAGATTCGTTTATTTCAGTTATTTCAATAGCATAATGTCTTATGGGATTTTATTACGTGGAAATGCAGCTAATTTAGAAACTATTTTTTTTTTTGCAGAAGCGACCCAAAAGATCCATTTATAACCTAATACCGGGAGAATCTGTCAGAGAAAAATTTTAAGAAATAAATATATTAACTTTGGCCTCTCAGTATGTAGTATTGGCCATTTTAAATAAAAATAACTTTTGTTTGGCTAAGAATTCAAAACATGGATTTTTTTTTTCAAAATTAGTCATTTGTTTATTTATTAGCGTTACATTTTCATCGCATTTAAATCTCTTTCGTCATGATGGATGCGTTAAAAATTCGAGTAATTATGGAATATGAGTACCGTCGTAGCAGCAACGCGGCACAAGCGGCACGCAACATCAACGAAGTTTATGGAGCAAATACTGCGGCTAAACAAACGCACTGCCTGTTTTGGTGTTTTACCCGCTTCCGTTCTGGAAATTTCGACCTGAAAAATGAACCGCATGGTCGTCCGAAAACTTTGGTTGACAAAGAGAAATTTAAGGCGATTGTGGAAGCAGATTATACTTAATCTATGACTGAATTAGCAGCAGCGTTCGACGTTAGCATCAAAACAATATTGGTCCATTAGCGGTGAATTAGCAAGGTAAAAAACCTTGACAATTGGGTGCCCCATGAACTCAATGATCTCAGTGACTTGCACTGCTCAACAGACGCACAAACGCAGGAATTTTGAACTGCATTGTTACCTGCGACGAAAAATGGAATTCTGTTTGACAATCGAAATTGCTCAGTAAGTTGGTTAGATCCTGGTTCAGCACTAAACAAAAACTTATCTCTAGAAAAGTGATGGTCAATATTTAGTTGTGCCAATGTCATGTCATCACAGTTTCTTACCAAATGGAATGAGCATTACTGCAGATGTGTACACTGAAGAACTGAACACAATGACGGAGAAGCTCGCACGTCTCTTACTAGTTATGGTCAATCGCTCATCCCCACATCGCTCCTGCACGACAACGCTCCACCTCATCTTCACAACCGACGGTCTCCAAATTATAAGAGCTGGGCTTGGAAGCCCTCCGGCATCCTCTGTTGTCACCAGACCTTGCGCCTACAGACTTCTACTTTTTCCAGATTTTGGATAAATTTTTGGCGGGAAAAAAATTCAATACTCGAGAGGCAGTACAAAAACTAAAGAATTTGTGCCTTCCGCCCAGCTGATTTATTCAAGAAGGGCATCAATAAACTACAACTACATTGGCACCGATTGCATGGGTGATTATTTTGATTAATAGAAATAATAAATATAGAAAAATCACAAAAATTCTACCTGATGGTAAATGGCTGCCGTAGTCCATAGACATCTACATCTATCTTTGCGAAATAAAATGCAGATGCGTTGTCAGCCGTGAGGACTAAGATGGAATGCCTCTTTTCTAGTGAAAAGGGTCTCCGTTCTCTACCCTTACCATACGAATTACAGCAGCATTAAGCTGCTATTTTATGTTGGTTTTCTGTCAGAGCGTTGTCCTTCCCTCATTAGTGTTGGCTAAACCAGGAAACCATAGTTGCAACTATACAATTAATATGGCTGCAGCTTGGCTCTACCACGTTAACATTTTTCATTTAATATAAAACGGCAGTTTCATCGGCTGCAGCTGTTGGGAAGAAGACATCGTTAGTCCACGTAACTAGAGGAGAGTCAGATTGTCCGTACCAAACGAACTCTTGTATTTTCATTACTATATGAGTTGTAAAACTGAATCCTTCACCCAAATTCAACTCGAGGGTGTCATAACAGGCACTAGTGGCGAAATCAGAAGGTTGCTACATAATTGCCCTGTGGCAGCATAACAAAATCCATCACCTTTCTTAGTTCTGTGGGAAATGAAATGAAAACTGACATAACATGAAATGAAATTAACTTTTTAGTTTTAGAAGTAAGAATTTTTCTCGTCATATTTTTCGCGTCGCCTCTTGCTTACGCGGTGCACCCTCCATGCCGTTGATGGAGACTGATATTAAAAGCTAGAGGGAGCCCGAGGATGGTCTCCAGTCAGGAGACGCCGTGTCGGGAATGAGGTTAAAAAAATAAAATGAAATATGAACAAATGAAGGTATAACGGTAATCTCCCACTTGTTCTAGCAGTGTAAAGTATCGCGTAGGCGACTAAAAGGGATTAGCTGGTAATTCTACGAGTCTTACTGTCGTTACTATGCCTGTTGGGGTATTCTACTAGTGTAGGCAAGGAAGGTCGTATTGCTGAGAGGCTGCCTTGTGTTATATTGAGATGGGTAGTGATGCTGTTTGTTGGCATACTTTGGTGTTATCATGTAATTGGGGTCCCGTTAGTAAGCAGGATTTGTTACCGAGTAGTGTTCTTTTATTTAAATACTTCTGAAAAAATTTCTAACATCACAAGTGGAATAGTTTTTAAAAATACTATATAAAGCATTATCGAATAAAGTATAAGGAGAAACACAATAAAAATAAACATCAGAGGAATTAAATAAAACTGAAAGACATAAACAAAGCCATAGCACTAGATGTTTTAGCCTTCTAATTTACAATGTTTAACTATAACACAATAAATCCAACAAATCCGAGTAATCAAACACGCACAGACACGCACCAAGCACGTCATCAGCCGCAAATATAAAAAAAAAATTAAGTCAGCCGTAAAGCCCCAATTTCAAAAGCTGTTATTTGGAAATTATTTTTATTGATTTTAGTTTTCGAAGTCGGTTTTAACATTTTATCAACGGTATAATTATGTTATCCTTTTGGGAGGCCTTTGGGAACTGCAATCGAATTTGATAGGCGGTAATAGTTACTTTAATAATTAAATATCTTAAAAATCGTAAGTAGATACTTTTAGACGGCTTTTTTATATTATTATAAAGAAGAAACATGCTACAATAAAACAAAAATGTTAAGATTTTTTTCTTATTTCTTTGCTCTTGTACGTGGGAGAGCCACGCTGCAATCCTATCACGGCTGCAGCACGAATGGGTCGGCTCCACCGGATTCCGAGTTCATAAGAACTGAGTTATTGACCAAAGCCGCCGAAGAAGATGAGTCAGTTTTTACCATCCATCCTTCAATTGTGTCACAGTGTGCAAGGATTGGCTTAATGCAGGACGTGTTTATAAAAATCGTGACAAAGATGCAAAAGTGCATTAAGGCGAATTTTTTTATCGGAAATAAAGATTTTCTTTCACATTTAAATTTTTCAAAAAAAAAAGGAGGTATTCAACCGTATTTTTAATACATGTTCTCGGTAACAGATTTAAATGATTCTATTTTTTTAATTAAATAGGCTATATCTCAAAATAGTCCCATAAAAGTTTGAAGAAAAATTCCCTTCCTAAGGATATGAAAATAGGTTTTTATTAAAATATATTTCGACAAAATTCTAGTTGTTACCTACCTTACGTTGAGCTTGTGATATTGTTTAAAGTTTAAACAATATCACAAGCTTAAAACTTTAAACCACCAAAAGAAAAAATGAGAAAAATATATTTTAACAAATAAAGACTATAAATTTAAAAAAAAATAATAATTTCCATATAAAATGGCTTTAGAAATCTATATTAAGACGTAGTGTATAGAAGAATAAAAACTTCTTTTGCTAAGTATTTTTGAAGTGTATGTTTGTAATGTCAAAATTATAGATTTTTACTAAAATCATATGAAAGATATACGGTACTCATTGCACACTACCAAAAACACAATTTTTAAATTTTTGTCTTTCTGTCTGGCCGCCTGTCTGTCCGTCTGTCTGTCCGTCTGTTTGTTCACTTGCAGATGGCCGATGTTATAAGGAGTAACTTAGGCTACCTTTATTTTAGAAAAAATAGGGTCCTGCTTATAAAAATTAAGACCCCTAAAATTCCATCGTAATAAATTATTACACGCTGGCGAAGTCGTGGGGAACAGCTGGGAATAAAATACTTAGTGTAAAATCTCTTCTTCTGAATAAATTGAGATCATTATAATTATTTTTTTAAAGAATACTTTGCTTGTGATTTTGCACATTTAAGTATTTTTTGATCATTTGATTTTTTTATCTTTACTATATATCTACCTATAAATAATTCTGCCCTTAATTTAGTCGGAGTTCATAAGTGCACGTTATTGTGTACAGACGTGTCAAATAGTAATTCAAATCAAATTTCAATTTTAACAGTGGTAGAGCCACGCGGGAGCTTTTGCTGTCGCACGGATGGGCCGGCTGGAACCGGGGTGGTACCACGACCTCACAGAAAACCAGCGTGAAGTAGAGGTTTACCTCTGCGTTTCGCTTGGTGAGTGCAGGTGGCCGGAGGCCCTTTTTACTTGAAATGAGGCATTCCATCTTAGTCCTCACGGGTGACAACGCATCTACATATTGATTTGTAATAGAGGATAGATGTAGATGTTCATGGACCACAGCAACCACTTACCATCAGGTGGACTGTGTGCTCGTTTGTCACCCTAATTCTATAAAAAAAAAAATTAAATAAGTATGTGCTTAGCCGAGTTGAATTCGTTGAATTGAAGTTGGACTTACCTAGTCGGACTATTTGTCCCAGGTAAACATACTCGTCAACAACTTCGAGCTTAGTGTTCCCAACAACTACCGGCATAGGTGTGACATGGACATTTAACATGATCTTTGTTTTGTCCATGTTCATCTTAAGACCTATCCGTTGGGAAACACCATTGAGGTCATTGAGCATAGTGCTTAGGTCCTCCAGCGATTCTGCCATAAGGACTATATCGTCGGCAAATCGAAGGTGAGTGATGTACTCGCCATTGATGTTGATACCGTATCCTTTCCAGTCGAGAAGCTTGAAAACGTCTTCCAATGCAGCCGTGAAGAGTTTCGGGGATATGACGTCACCCTGTCTTACACCTCTCTGCAATTGGATAGGTTTCGTACTCTGGTTCTGTACTCGGATAGCCATCGTAGCCCTACTGTATAAGCACTTCAACACTTCGATATACCGACAGTCAACTTGGCACCGCTGAAGGGACTGCAGCACCGCCCAAATGTCGACGGAATCAAAGGCTTTCTCATAGTCCACATACGCCAGCGTAGGGCAGCGTTCGGGAAGCTAAGACACATCTTCTCGTCAGACATACCTCAAAACCTTAAAACGAAATTGTACAACCAGTGCGTGTTGCCAGTGATGACTTACGGAACTGAGACGTGGTCCTTCACTGCTGGCCGGATGAGAAAGCTCAAGGTCGCTCAGCGAGCTATGGAGAGGGCTATGCTCGGAGTTTCTCTGCGTGATAAACTTAGGAATGAGGATATCCGCAGTAGAACCAGAGTAACCGACATAGCCCAACGGATTAGTAAGCTGAAGTGGCAGTGGGCCGGCCATATAGCTCGAAGAACCGACAACCGATGAGGAAGAAAGGTTCTCGAGTGGCAGCCTCGTACCGGTAGGCGAAGTGTAGGGCGTCCCCCCACGAGATGGAGTGACGACCTGGTAAGACATGCAGGAAGTCGATGGATGCAGGTGGCTCAGGACCGTGCTTTGTGGCATTCTTTGGGGGAGGCCTATGTTCAGCAGTGG